AGTGAATACTAATTAATTAAACTCAATCGGCTCTATCCATTTTTTAACACTTTACTATTATTAAACAAGGCTAAAGTCATATTAAATTTTTTTTATAAAAGAAGCTATAACTTGGAAATATAAAAAAAAATGTTAAAATTTAAACTTAGACTTATGCTAAGTGTTACTTGTAAGAATGGTTAAATAAATCAATCAGACTAAATTTTAGGTTTTACTATACTGGACTACATTATTTTTCATTTAGACAGCAGATTAAGATATAGAGATCGATAAAGAAATGTTAGTATTAATATTAATTAATTTTATGGTTTACCCTTTTAGTAAGTAATTGACTCAACTGACGCTGCATGCTCAATTCATTTATATATGAAAGGAAGAAAAAAACACCAAAGGACAAAGTTTGTGAAATATGTCTAAAATGAAAAAACGTAAAGTTTGGAGGAATTGGATATGTACGCTTTTATTTCTCCACCAATCAGGCATTAACCCATTGAAACGATTGGTTGTGTTGATGTAGGCTTAATGTGACCCAGGTTTGCATGACAAGTACGTAATAAAAAGTGCCCAAGCTTTAAGGCCAAAAGATAAATATAATTAAGTGCATGGTGCTAATTGATTTCCAAAGCAAAATAGGACCTGTTGCTACAATTGATCCGGCTTACTTTTACTTTAATATAAGTTGAAACATGCATGATTTAATATTCATGTACGTGCTAGCTAATTTTTGTCTAATGCAAAAAAAACAAAAAAAAAAATGGGGTCCTTTTAAAGAATATTGTTTGTAGAAAATGGTTTTACAGATCTAGTCATCTTGACCCATGCTTGTAGGTATAAATTGATACCTTGATTGGAAAGTTCTTTGCATTCATTTGCAGGACAGTCTGTACATACCTAACAATGGTCCCTTTTTCCTGATGGGAACATACCAACATCTAAGAGCCCTTTTTCTTCTTCTTATTATTATTCCCTGCTTAAAAATATCAGTCCATATATAGTCCATATCCAACAGCAACCTTGTCATTCTTAAAATATTTTTCCTATATTAATTTTTACGAAATTAAAGAAAAAGTTAACTTTAATTTATTTAATATTAAATTTTATTTTTTTTTATAAAATTAAAGGTTCATAATTTTTAAAATTAAAAAGTAAAAAAAAAATTATAAAAAAATAATTTTTTCGTAAGAGCTGCTTGGCGGGAAATCTAGAAGGAATGAATAGAGATAAAAAGTGCCGGCCAAGTTGGACAATAATATTGAAAGTTTCTACGCTGCATCTGCTCCACAGCTTTTCTCATATGGAATAATCCAGGGAAAATACAATCCCCCCACTGTGAATCTCAATCATCTCTGCAGCCCCCATACATGCATGATGCCTGCTTTCGCATTTTTCCTTTTTTGCTATTGATATTTATTTATTTCGACGAACGAAGGGTCAAAGGCCATTCCACAAGAAATTTTTTAAAAATAATTATAAGTAATAGCTGCGGTTAATCAAATTGTTGAGCATAAAAAATAATATAAATTATTAATGGTATGATTTATTAATAAAATATTAAATTTAATAATAAAGTTCAAAATTTAACATTTAAAATATAAAAAATAAATAAATATAAATGCTCACTTCAGAATGCAATATATTTAAAAATGAAATTAAATATGAAATCAAAACTAATTGTTTTGTTTTTTATATGTAAAATTTAAAATAAATATATATTTTAAAATAATCTTTTAAGTAGGGTAAAACATATCATCTATTTTAAAAATTACGTACGAAAATTAACATTAATAAAAGTGACAGCCTATAAGATTCGAACCCAAAATTGCATTATCGTTAGGTTAAATGAAGTTTAGGGGTTAACGTCATCGTTGTTTAATTTGAAGCATCCATTAGATTTACGATGCAAACAATTCAAAATACATCCATGAACAATAATATACGTACGCTGGTACGTAGACGTAGCCTTTTGTACCCATCACATGATACTCTCAAAACAAGTTGCAACTTGCAACTTGCAAGGCTCTCCCTTTTAGAACATCCCCACGCGCCCATTTCACCACGCGTTTCACGTGCCGTAAACCTTAGTGCCATACACTTATGATCTACCTGTTTCTGCCATACAGCTGGACCCACGTGCCTCCTCTGTTACAATGCGGGTCCCGCAGTTATATTTTTTTTAAGTTCGGAGTTTTTTTTTTAAATATTAAATAATATTTAATAACAATGAATAAAACGATATTTAAATAAAAATGTGTATTTAAGATATTGTTTTTATTAAATTTGGTAAAATTAGTGTAATAAATGCAAATTATTTAAATAATAATTAAATAATTCTTAACCAGCATGTGTAAACGATTCCTTTCCATTTTCATATAAAATAGAGATATCGAATGGATCGTATTGAATTCATACAATTTAATTAAATGCTAGCAAACATATTAATGAATCATAATATTATGTTTTTTAATCTTTAATTTAATAATTAAAGATGTTTGAAGAGATATCAAGAATTTAATTTTAAATTAATTTTTTTTATTTGTACTAAAATTTTATCTTTCTAATATAAAAAAAAATTGTAACACTATAATATTATTTTTAAGAGATCGCATTGGCTTGATTTAAGTGTCTTAGCCATATATGTTACTAATAGATCAAGTGGTAATTTTTTTTTTTACTTTTAATAGTTTATTTTTTGATGAGTTTAAATTTATTAGTAATATAGTTTTCAAGAAAAATGAGATATCATATCTCATTTTAAAATTTTAAAATGATACATATATTATTTAAATTTACCTATGTATCATAATTTATGTATCATATTAAAAATTTTTAAAATTTATTTATTATATTAAAATTTTTAAAATGAGATATCATATCTCATTTTTCTTGAAAACTATAATTTATTTTAATTTACTTATGAAATATTTTAAAAATTATTTTTTATATTAAATAAATTTTTATAATATATAAATTTTAAAAATTTTTAATATGATACATAAATTATGAATTTATTAATTCATGTAGTATTTTGATAATTATTTATCCAATATATGTCATAATTTGTAATTATTTACGTTAATAGTAAATATTATATTAATTAGTAAATTAAGAATTCAAATTTTACATTAAAATTTTTAAAAATTTATGTATTATATTAAATATTTTGTAATGATTCAAAGTTATTTTGTGAACATTATACCTTTTGATTTGAGGATCTTTGTAATAAGTAGTTGGTGTTACGTTGACGGATTTGGAGTAAAAAATTAGGAAAATTGTTTTTTCAGCCTTGGCTCACAGACGGACGAATCAAAACACAGCTACTGATATTCAGCCAGGTTACAAAAAATGGGGGCAAATTGAAAGTCATGCTTCGGTTCTTTCACATTTTATCTGGGGATTGTCTTCTTCCCCCCAAATCCCCCACTTGGCTCGGCTCCAATGGCCTCCGAAGAATCTCTTTTCTAATAAGGGAAACTTCTTTTTAAACGCCAGTGTAGTAAATTTTAACCTTAATATAAATCTGATAAGGAATAATTGAAGGTTTTAATCCAAATTTTCTACTTCATTGATGTTTATCAAATATAATCGCTCAAGTCTAGGGGTTCTCTAAGAGAAGGGTTCAAAAGCAAGTAAGCAAATCAACCGAGGCATGACTTTGTTGTCAACTTTTGGCTGAAACTAAAGTTAAAACGGAGCCGAGATATGATCCCAAAATCCGTCACGTGAGTTACAGAGAAGCGAGAAAAACAGGCCTAAAGTCTCGACTTTCGATGCTCTAACCTTACTCGATACACTCTTTGAAATCCTTTATAAAAGTTTTTTAACACTGACAAATCAAACAACCATGCATTTGAGTTTTCCCAAATAAAACAGCCTCGAGTCGAGTTAGAAAAAGGATGAATCCATCATGGACCCGAGTAGCCTCTTTCTAAATGTTAGTCAAAAAAAAATTTTCTTAGATTCTCTCAAAATATTGCGTTGGTTTCCCTCTGCCAAAAAACACTCTCCCAAAGAAAATTTAATGCGTCCCCACCAATTTTCCATCACGGGCTACTACAAAACAACGTTTGTTTTTAACTACTCTGCCCTCTATAAAAGTACCAAAGCTTAACCAACTTTTCATGCTGAAGTTTCCTCTAGTTTTTAGTCCCTTTATTATTATTATTTTTATTTTTGGGTTAGTAGTAACGGAGGATCAAAAGGGATGGTCAAAATGACCTCCTTCTCCTCTGTTTTTGAAAACAGAGCACCTCAGGTCTCTGTTTTCCTCCGCTTCTTGATTTCTTTGCATTGTTTTTCATTGATCTCGGTTCGGGTTTTTGCGCAAACATCTCCTGTTTTTGCCTGTGATACTACTACAAATCCAGAGGTTGCAAGTTATGGTTTTTGTAACGCATCGTTGGGGACAGATGTAAGGGTCGCTGACTTGGTGCAAAGGCTTACATTGCAGGAGAAAATTCTGTTCATAGTGAATAGTGCTGGGAGTGTTAGTCGGCTTGGAATACCAAAATATGAATGGTGGTCCGAGGCTTTACATGGAGTCTCCAACGTCGGTCCCGGTACCAAGTTTAGCAGCTTGGTTCCAGGAGCTACAAGCTTTCCTCAGGTCATCTTGACGGCAGCATCCTTCAACACTTCTCTCTTTGAAGCCATTGGCAGGGTAAAGTTGTTTTTTTTCTTATTTTGGATTTGTTCTTCTCCCAGGTTTATGTCGTTTTGCTTTTTGTTTTTATATCTCTTTCTGTCATTTCGCTTTTTCTTGTTGTTTTTCTTTTGCGTTTATGTCCTAGAAGATGATTCTAACTTAACGTGCATTGGATTTCTTTAAACGGGGATGGACTTTTCATTTTCCGACAGGTTGATTGAATTAAATTTGTTAGGTATGAAAACTAGAAAACCATGCAGAATTTGATGAGGCTAGCTGAAACCTGCGCGGTTGAATTTCTTTTCACAATTTTTGAAATTAGATGTTGAATGCATTGTTTGTGTCATCGTGATTGACATTATCATTTTCGCAATCAATAGCCTTGAGGGAATTATTCATTGGTTGTATAGTTCAAAAGAGGGTACATTGCTTACTGTGGTGCGTTTTTTGCAGCCAATCCGTGAGTAATGTTCAGTTTCTGTTATCCCCTTATTTATACCCATTTTTCACATTTTCAGGTGGTTTCGACTGAAGCTAGAGCAATGTACAATGTTGGATTGGCAGGACTAACATATTGGTCTCCAAACATTAACATATTCCGAGATCCTAGATGGGGAAGGGGGCAAGAAACACCAGGGGAGGACCCATTGCTTAGCAGCAAATATGGATCAAGTTATGTCAAAGGTTTACAACAAACTGATGATGGTGACCCTTCACTGCTTAAGGTTGCGGCGTGTTGTAAACATTATACAGCATATGATTTGGACAACTGGAAAGGAGTTGATCGCTACCATTTCAATGCTGTGGTAATTTAAGTTCAATTGAGTTTAATTTCTTTAGTCAAAGTTGCCTTTGTCATGATTCGTTTGTGGATGGTTAGGTAACCCAACAAGATATGGATGATACATTTCAACCGCCATTCAAAAGCTGTGTTATTGATGGGAATGTAGCCAGTGTTATGTGTTCTTACAACCAGGTAAACGGTAAGCCAACTTGCGCAGACCCTGATCTTCTGGCAGGGGTTATTCGAGGGCAATGGAAATTAAATGGGTATATTCATTTCTCCTAACATTTTCAGGACAAAATTTTCCAAGGACGTATTTAGCAAGCAGTGTTTTGTTTACACGGCTTTTGGGTTGCTGCAGGTACATAGTTTCAGATTTTGACTCAGTAGACGTGTTCTACAATAGCCAGCACTATACCAAGACACCAGAGGAAGCTGCAGCCCTAGCAATTTCGGCAGGTGGCTCTGTTTCCTTTACTAAAAATGGAATGCAAGTGATGTCTGTTTGGTCCAATTTCTAAGTTGAAACAACTATTTTGTTCTAAGATGCTGAAGTTAGGCTAATTAATGGAATAACAAAACAGTATTTAAATAATTTCAGTATGACTATTTTTGAGAAGCTTTAATTCAACTATGGCTTTTATCAAAACTTCAGTTGAACCAAACTTGGAGTTTATGTCAGTTGGTTCATATAGCCACTCTTAAGAGGTGGCATCCTAGCACCTGTAATCCCTTCCTTCATCTCAAGGCTGTGGCCTCTTATGTACCATTAAAAAAAAAAAAGAAAAAAACCTTCAGTTGAACCAAGCAAGCTTCTTCTGCTGGTAACTAAGAATGTTCTTAGTCTTAGATATAGGCAATAAAAGGAACATATGAATCAATACATGCATAGAGAGATTGTACACTTGCTAGAATAAATATATTTGTTTCCACATTTAAGCAAAGTAAAATCTTAGTTAGTAAACCAGAATGCTCTGGTAATTGCTAAATGTTTTTATGTTCCAGGGTTGGATCTCAACTGTGGATCATTCCTTGGCAAACACACCGAGGCTGCAGTGAAAGCAGGACTTTTAAATGAGTCAGCCATTGATAACGCTGTCACCAACAATTTCGCTACTTTAATGCGACTTGGCTTCTTCGATGGTGATCCTAGCAAGCAACTTTATGGAAAGCTTGGCCCCAAGGACGTGTGTACTCCAGAGAATCAAGAGTTGGCCCGTGAAGCTGCAAGACAAGGGATTGTGTTGCTCAAGAACAGTGCAGGATCGTTGCCTCTATCTCCTACTGCTATCAAAACCTTAGCAGTAATTGGACCTAATGCCAATGTCACAAAAACTATGATTGGAAACTTTGAAGGTAGTCAAACAAATTACTTGTGATTACGAACTTGGCTATTTGATACTTAAAAAGTATTTAACTATTATCATTTGGAAAAGTCTATTACTACATGTTTTTCTTCTTGACAAGTTTACAATTAGACAAGCTTCAAAAAAATATTAGTAATTCATGTAACATGATCAACTTACATCATTGGAAACACTTGCAGGCATTCCATGCAAATATACAACACCTTTGCAGGGTCTAACTGCTTCAGTGGCAACTACTTATGTTTCTGGCTGCTCCAATGTGGCTTGTGGCACTGCCCGAGTAGATGATGCTAAGAAAATAGCTGCCTCAGCAGATGCCACTGTACTTGTGATGGGCATAGATCAATCACTTGAAAGAGAGAGCTTTGACAGAGTTGACCTTCTTTTACCAGGACAGCAGCCACTTCTAATAACAGAAGTTGCGAAGGCGGCCAGGGGACCTGTGATTCTTGTCCTCATGTCTGGAGGAGGCTTTGATATATCATTTGCCAAAAGCAATGACAACATTACAAGCATTCTTTGGGTTGGTTACCCCGGCGAAGCTGGCGGAGCTGCCATAGCCGACGTGATTTTTGGGTATTATAATCCAAGTAAGTCTTTCTACATTTCTCCTGACTTTCAATATAAATGTAGTTGCTTTCCTGATAAGTATGCTTTTTTCCTGGGATCACTGCAAATGAATTTCGCTTCTTTTTGTTTAGACAAAAAAGTTAGCACTTTTATTAAATCCTAAATGCCATTGTTCCAGGTGGAAGGCTGCCAATGACATGGTATCCTCAATCATATGTTGACAAGGTGCCAATGACAAACATGAACATGAGACCGGATCCTTCCAATGGGTATCCAGGCAGAACCTACAGATTCTACACTGGGGAAACTATTTATACATTTGGGGATGGACTAAGCTACTCCAACGTCAGCCATCAATTAGTTAAAGCACCCAAACTAGTATCCATCCCCTTGGAGGAAGACCACGTTTGTCGCTTATCTGAATGCAAGTCAGTTGAGGCTGTTGAACAAAGTTGTAAAGATTTAGCATTTGACATACATTTGAGAGTTCAAAACAAGGGTAGATATAGCGGAAGCCACACAGTTTTCTTGTTTTCCTCTCCCCCATCAGTGCACAACTCGCCTCAGAAGCATTTGTTAGGATTTGAGAAAGTTGTCTTGACAGAAAAGTCAGAGTCATTGGTGAGATTCAAGGTGGATGTTTGCAAGGATTTGAGTGTAGTTGATGAGCTTGGAAGCCGAAAGATTGCATTGGGACAACATTTGCTACATGTGGGGAGCTTGAAACATTCATTGAATTTGAGGGTTTGAAAAGAAGTTTTTCTAAATCCTCATGCATTTTTTTTTTTCTCTTTTTAGATTTGACCTTTTCTTTCTTTTCCTTCTCTTTGCCTAAGGCAAGCTAGGGTGGCAAATAGAGCCTGAAATAAGTTGAGAGAGTTATTAGCAATTTTCTCAATTTTTTTTCGTATAGCCAATTGTTCAAAATTCAAGAATTTGAAATCCAAAATTGAAAAGAAAAAAAAAAGTGTTCATTTTCATGTTCTTGTTCTTATAGACTACTAGTTCTGTGACTTTTGTCAGTGTATATGATAGGTATAAGAATCAAATTATTCAAATCAATTAACATAGAAGCAAAGCAATTGCTTAAAGAAATGGGGAAAAGAAGACAATGAGACCAGTTTTTTATCCTTTTCTTGCTCATTCACTACTTTAGAAATACATTGAAACCTTGAAGCTTTGCAAATGAGGGTGAACATTTTGTTGTCATTGAAAAAGGAATATTTATCTGATGCTAATCAAACTTCCGAGTGTTAATTAAAGGCCAAGTTCATGATAAAAATAGTCCATTTAAATGTATATATATAAGTAGAGAAAAATCACTTTAAAAATAATCTATGATAATATATATATACACTAATTCGAGAATTTAACTCGATTAATTCATGTAATTATCTTTAAAATATGACATATAATAAATTTAAAATTTAAATCTTAACACCCACAATCCCTTTCCTTATCTTCATATTGCAGTCTCTTTGTATAAAAAATATATGCAGCTTGTTACTGTTTGATTTGCTTATATCATGATAAGGAGAGATGAAGTCGTTAGGAAGCAGCAGTTATTTCGGGGTCCAAGAATAAATTAAGGCCCATTTAAATATCAAGCTAGGCCTAACCAAATCCGGGTCGAACCTGGGTTGGGCAATTAGTGGACTGCTTATTAGATAAATTTACATGCAATATATGAATATGATAATCAATAATTATTACCAAATCATGTCCGAATAAAATGCTGCCCAAAAAAAAAAGAAGGAAAATAAGCATTAAAAGAAAAAGAAGATGGTTTCTTTTCTAACGGAGGGGATCGGAGCATATAGAATATGTGAGAGTTTCACACATGCCCTCTCACTTTCATTCTTCATTTTTTTTTTAAATAAAATTGTATCGTGAATATCTACCATGCACAAACTCTCATTATCATTGGCTATTACAAATCAAATCCCCGTATTACTCCCAACACTCTTTGATGAATGATTGCAATATAAAACATGAAAAACATTAATAACTGGTTAAGATTCTAGTTCTTACGTTACTTTATTAGACATGATTTGTCCATACTTAATTAACAAAGAAAAGAAAAATGAAAACGCTCTACTCCTTATGTTTTCTATCAACCCTTTTCGATCATGTGCCATACACTTTTAGTTTTAAATTATAATAATTGTATGAATTAAAAGTGTTGAAAGACAAAGCGAATCCAAATTTAATAGACATGTCTAAATATTAAGCTTAAACCCAAGCTCCATTTGTTTAAGTTCATTTAAGTTCTTTTATATTAAAAATTTATTTCATATTAATAATTTTAAATTAAATAAAAATATTATTTTTGAAAAAAAATAACATCTCAAATTAATTTGAACTTCAAAATTTTTGTTCAAAATTGATTTAAATTGAATCATGCAAGCTACTTATCCATCTAAAGTGTTCTTAATTGAACTAGACGGTTGCTACGCAAATAAGTTTAATGGAAACAAATTTAAAGGTTTTTATTAGTTGGAAGAATATAATAACGTAAAAATTAAAAATTTATTAATTTAATGATTAAATTATAAAATAAAAAAGTTTTTATGAATTTTATATATCAAATTAACTAATTTTTTATTCTCAATCTTTTTCATCTTTCTTATCAAATAAAATCAAAGTAAAATTGTTATGTGATGATAAAATATTGAAATTTTAATTTTAATTTTTTAATTAAAATTTAAATTTTAATAATTCAAATAAAAAAAATTTAAAACTGTTATAATTTATAACAATTTAAAAATTATGTGATGTCACATTCAAAACTGTGCATCTTTTAAAAAAAATAATGAGTGTTTGGCGAAAAGGAAAACAAAAAGATGATTAGGGTTAGTCAAGATGGTTAGTTGGAAAAGACAATGACAAGAAGAGACCATCGAGTGGGGTTGCTTAAAAATGATGAAAACAAATTGCTTAATGACGTTGTTAAAAGGCCAAATAATAATAATAATAACTATATTATTATAATCAACATGTCCCTTCCACGTCACCAGCCCTCCGTTTTTGAATATTCTACAACTTGGAATCGGCCAATGAAAGGAATCATGACCTAATCATTGGAATCGGCCACTGAAAGGAATCATGGCGAACCAATTTTTTTAATGACTAAATTACCCCCCACAGGATTTTCTAAAATTTTTATTTGGGGTTTTTGGGTCCAAAGATCCTCCAAGAGGCCCTGGGATTATTGGGCGATAATATTGATTGTAAAATATAATTCATATTTATTAAATTTTATAAATTATTTGATTAGTCGCAAATGTCTGTGCCAGCAAAATTTTTTTCGTGAAAGATGATGTCCATTTAAGGTAAATTTAATTAAAAAAAGTTATACATGTAATTTTGCATTTTGATATAAATAATTAAGATATAACAATATTAGATAAACATTTTTTGAACAGATTTTATCGTTTTATTTATATTTTTTTATTAAATTTAATAAATAATTATAAATAATATTTTAAAATTTATTAATTTAATAAATAAATTATGAATATAATAAAATTTATTTGTACTCAATTTATTTACATTTGAGAGTGTGAATGAGTAAAAATTTTCGTGAATAGTTTTTAAACAACTTCAATTTTTATTTATTTATATTCAATTATTAAATTTAATAAATAATATTAGATAATATTTTAAAATTTATTAATTAAATAAATAAGTTTTAAACATAACAAAATTATTTTATATTCAGTTTGTTTATATTTTTAAACAGTTAAAAAATGTGAATATAATTGTTAATACTCATAGAAAATAAAAATATCTCACCAATGAAATAAAAAAAACAAAAAAAAAGCTTAAATTGTTTTTTCTTTAAAAAAGGAAAAAGAAACCTCTTTTTGTCTTTATGAAATAAAAGGGTAGTTTTGTCATTAGGTCATCAGTTTGCATCAAGACCGAGTTGGCCTAAAACACCCTAAACATATGGTGTTTTGTCTCCTACCATGAGTTAACAAAGCGCCGACATCCGGCACGTTAATCGAATCTCACACGCGTCATTCTCCGGTTCGTCTGACATTTCAAAAGGCAAATTACTTGACAAATAGAAGCCAATAAAAATCCAGCAAGGATTTCGTCCTCAATATGCGTGACCGTATGAGATCAGGACCTCGTAAGGTTTGAAAGCAATGGAGATTCCTTGGCATCGTGGGCTCCGTGGCGTTATTGGGGCGTTACACATTCATTTGCGAAATCTTCCAACCACTGACAGTTGCTTCTCCTACCCACTTTTGACACGTGGCAAACCAGTGATTTTGGTTGCCATTTCGTTTTTCCCCATTGTGTCCACAGCTTTTTATTATAATTGGTATTAGTAAGATTTGAATTTTATTATTGAAAATAAATTTAACATTCAGACTCTTCAAAAAAATCTTTTTTTTTTTTTTTTATAATACTTATGTCAAGTTTACATCATTATCGTTGAGTTTAGTTCATCAAACCTTACGTGGGCTATCTTTATCCTAACCAATTCAGAATACCTGGATCCCGAAGATATTGCATTAAAAATTTTTTTATGATGTTTCAACATCTTGAATAGTTAGTTTAACTTCACCACAAACTTTTCACATAATTATCATATCATTTGTATGTTTCGTAGACTCTGTAAAATTCATCAAGATGGCTCAATTAGTTTTTAAAAATATTTAGATTTTTTTTTATACAATCCGTATTTTTTGTATAAATCTTTATTCTTATATTATGATGAATATAGATTTCTCCTCAAAAGATTCTACAAAATAAATCATATCTAAATTCCTAAAGAACTCTCTCCTTTAGAAAAAAACTTATTATCCAATTATCCATCCAGCACCACGCATTACCTTCAAAGCTCCATTTAAAGGTCAATTACTGTAGTATGCACTCTATTTTTTTTCTTTTCAAGTATATCTAAGAAAAAATGAGGGATAATTCTCAGATAGGAAAATTATTTGACCAATGCAATTTAAATTATGGATTGAATTTCTTTTAAAGTTTTGTTAACGAGTATTTTGAAAATATTTTTTAAAATTATTATATAAAAAAAAATATATGATTTTAATTCATTAAAAATCAACATATTAATTATTAACTATTACATTTAATGACAGATATTATTATAAATAAAATATTAATTTTAAAAAAGTTTGAAATAATACTTGTCAACAATTATTATTAATGTTCGGAGTTAAATTCTAAGCTTAATTATAATAAATTATATAAAACATTTAAAATTTCAAGTTGAAAGAAAACTTTAAGATTCAAATATTAAATTTTTTTTTTAAAAAAAACAAGTTTGATATGATATATAATAAACAATTTAACTTGAATAATATTGTATATTAATTATAAATGTTTGTATAAGAATCCCTAGATACCCTCCAAAAGTTAATAATCTGAAAAAGAAAATAATTTTTAAGAGAATTTTTAAAAAGGATCGGATGGTGGCCAACGCATCTCCAAAAGTTGTCAACGCGTGAGAGGCACAAGAAAGCATAAATTTTAAAAACTTCTATAATAACAAATTATGTTTTTCTCGAGTGTTAATTGAGGAGGCCAAGCGTGCAGTTTGAGATTCTCGTCAATTATACACACTTTGAGTTGGATGCAGCGAACTGGCAGTGAAGGAAGAAGCTATCGAGCTTGCCCTCGTCACAAATAATACCCTGTTTCCTGTTTTTGCTGTCTGGCTTCGAGGGCAGCCGGCTACTTGACCTGACTTGGCTTGCATTTGTGAAATGTGGGGT